TTGGATTCTTGGCAAACATCAAGGCAAATAAGTCAGGCCCACCACTGCAAACCCATCTGCTTTTAGGGACATGCTCGCCAGCCAGTTTGTGATGTTTTACCCCAGATCTAGCTCCAACATAGAACTGAAGGAGGATCCCTGTGGGGGAAGAAGAGAAAGGCACGTTCTAAGGTCGTTTTTTAAGCTCTGAATCGTTTATCTGCTGACGGACTGTGGCCAGGCATGGTCTACACTGACATTTTTAATGACACGGACAAGACGGCATGAGACTTCTGAAGCTGAAATGATTTTGTAGCAGATGAAAAGTGCAAATGCAGTTCCTCTTTGGATTTGACAATAGGGCTTAATAAAAAAAAAGATGCTGTCATCGTTGTAAAATGTAACCAATCAAGTTCCAGTCAAGGTGTACATTTATCAGGACATCATGTTTACACCTCTGCTGGCGCTAGGTCACCCGCGAGAATACCTCTCCAGCTGTTGACAGCCCAGAAATTGTTTTATAAAAAGTAATAGGCGATGATTACCCACACCTGTCTTCCTAACGCTCAATGGCACTTGAATGCCGTGTCATTTGTGGCTCGCCAGCATGGAGTGATGCTTCCCCGCGAACAGGAATGAGGAGGATTACAGGCGGTCGGGGCACGCGCATTGTGCTGGAGGGGCAGCTCATGGATATAATACCCTTGATAACAGTTGTAAATGGATCCACTTAGAATGATCAAAAGTGAGTCGAGCTGCTTATCATGCCTCTTAGAGATGGTTTTAGACTGATTTTTGACAAGCTGAATTGTATCCTCTATGGGCCACGGGTTTTTTTCACCCTGGAGATCAACATCTTTTTTAAGGATGTTTAGTATTATGACTTAGTTGTTTGGAATTTAAACAAAATCCTTGAAAGGTTCACTAAGTAGACAGTTATGTGGTGGTAGTAACAGGGGTGTGGAGTAGGGGGAAGAATATTCAGCTTTTTAGACTTTCTTCCCCACCCCTCCCCACTTCTCCTGATTTCTGATCTGAGTCCGCTTTTGTGCGGGGCCCAGCGTGACGCCTCCTTAGAAGAGTAGAGGACAGTGTCAAAGACTTTGCCTACTGGTTACATTCTGGATGGCGACGGTTCAGAAGGGGGGCGTACGGTAGTGACGGTGGCATTTGTCCTCTGCACAGCCATGACTTGAACCCTTCCCTGAACCTCTGGAGCTAAACCCTGTAGTAATGATGCCTGAAGCGGTAGCTGCCCCTGCAGACTGAGCCTCCACACGACCTGTCCTCCCCCTCCCCCTCCGGAGCGTCTTTGTGCACGCCTTTCTCTACCGCAAGGTGTATCCAGGGTAGCGGCCAGGGGGCCTGTGGGTAGACAAAACTTCACTTTACCAGGTAGTTGTTCACTTCTGCTCCTACTCGTTCGTGGGCTACTAAAAACAGGGGCGCTTTTGAACACATGAGGTACCTGGTAACAGATTCAGAGCAGGCAGTGTGCGCATTATGTCGTCATGCTGACAACTCGGAGGGAATTGGTTTCATAATCATGATGTTCGTGATAGCCAGAGAAAAAACACTTATTTTTTATTATTTAGAGTATACAAAAAACAGAAGGATCTCTAAAATTTATGTTCACCCAAATATTTAAACAGTTAAATGTGATTCTTAAAGAAAAAGGGAATAGTAATTACTTTCATTTATTTCTTCAGTGAGTCCTCAGTGTATACTAGGCAGTGTGCTAAGCACTGCACATACATGATTTTATTCTCAGTGACATGAATTTGGTATTTGCCCACTGTACAGATGAGGAGGCTGAAGTTCAGTGGGATTAAATGAGTTATCTGGGGTCCCGTGGGTATGGAGTGGGGCAGCCAGGGATACATCCCACGCGCTTGTCTGGCTCCAGAGCCACAGAACGGCCGCTGCGGCCTGCGGATGGGACACGAGGGGCCCCTACTGGGGAGCGAATATTGGCTCAGGTTGTGAGTGAGTCTCGGGTACTGGGGAGGTCGCTGCCCGCGGAGGAGTGACTTCCCTCCTCTGGTTCCGAAGGTGGCTGGCAAGACTTAAGGGGGGAATTCTGCTTATGGCTGGGGTGGGGGTCGAGGGGTGGCCCTCCAAGAAAATGACCTTGTATCGGTTTTGGTTGTGCTATACATTGTTTTAGCCATGTTAGTACAAATTTTGAAAGGTCACATGAGACCTTTTAACTCCATATATGTAGATGGTAAATTATTGGCCTCTTTTTCATCCTCTCTGTACATTTTATTTCTTGTAAAAGTTGACAGATATATTTGGAATAAGACAAAAGCTGAAGGTATTATTAGAAGAGAACAGTTGTGTTATCCTTCTTTTACAGAGTATGAGGTGTGCTGGCTCCGTGACTCTGCTGTTTGTTGAATGGGTGAGGAGTGAATGAGTTTGGGGGATTAGGTGTGGATTTCTGAAGTATATACTGTTGCTGTTCTCAACAGTATGGATAATTGGGAGGTGGTTAACTTTAGCTTTCGCTTAAAAACGTGATTATTTTTTCTAGTCTAGTACACAGTTTTATTCATATTAGTCTATTTATGAGGCTAGTGTGCCTCTTGACCTTCACTTTCAGTGAATAATGTAGCAAAATAACTTATTTAGTCTAAAAAGTGAAATTCCTGAAATTATTCCCTTAGCCAACCAAAATTCATGTGAGGAAGAAAACTCAAGTACCCGAGTGTGGAAAGCATTCGAAAGTAACCCTAGGCCCTGGCCTGTGTGGCTCAGCTGGTTGGAGCGTCCCATAAACCAGAGGGTTGCAGGTCGATTCCTGGTCAGGGCACGTGCCTAGGTTGTGGGTTCGGTCCCCAGTCAGGGAGTGTGCAGCCTATTGTTGTTTCTCTCTCATGTCGATGTTTCTCTCTCCTTTCCTTGCTCTCTAAAAGAAAACAAAAAGCAGTGGGAAAAAAAATCCTTGAGTAAAGATTTAAAAAGAAGTAACCCTAGGAGGGGAATGTTTATTAGGGAAAAATTAAGTATTTTTAATTTCATTTGAGTTTTGCCTCTTTCAAAAAAAAACAAATAAGAAATATTCAGATATGCATAGGAAAAATTGCTCAGAATTATGCAAAGTTACTTTCTAGAAATTGTTGATCAATTTCCCCTTCACTGAATCAGACTGTTAGCATTTAAACTCAGCATGATGCCAAATGAGTAGGCAGTTTCTGGGGAATATAGTTCAATGATTTCCCTCCCTGACATCTTGGAAACTGTGAAAAGAGTTACCCTGTGAACTGCTCGGCATATGGTTGCCTTTGAAATAGTCCAGCAGCGGCGGCGGTAGCATTTCCAGTGGTCATCTTTACAGATCGTTTGTAAACGGAAACTTTCTGTGTAGAAAGAGAACCCTTCTCTTGGGGAACACCTGGGCAGTGAAAACTTGCTTCTACCCGGTACCAGACCCCCCTCCTTATTCTCCAGGCCAGACCAAAAAAAAACATACGTTTCATGGTGTATCTTTTTGTACATTACCTTTATATCCGCCTTGTTCTATACTCCCACCTTCCTCCAGAATACTTTATCACTAGAAACTGCGTTTACCTGGATAAATAGAACTGTCGATGTGTGCTTTTGCTTAAGTTGAGCTGTTTTTTTTAGGTTTCATTTCCCCCCCAGCTCTCACAGAATTTCCTCGGTACTGATTTGCAGTATGTTTGGTGTTTGCCAGCAAATGTGGAACCTTTCAGTTTGTGTCCCTTCTCTATGTGACATAAGATCTAATTACCACCCAGCACGAAGTAGCAGCTGAACTGAGGAAAAGGCAGCAAGAGAAGGCAGGCACTGGCTTCCAGAGCCAGGGAGCCGCTTCCTCTGCGCACTTCTCAGCCGGGGAGCCAACGGGAACCGGCCTTCGTTACAGTAGCTCTCATGTTAAACGCTCTTTTCCTGTCTGAGTTTTAACTGAAAGGGGGGATTTTTTCACCTCTTTACGGAAGCCAGACATTAAACAGTACTTTCGATTTGCAGTCGTCGCATCGATGCGTCCTCACACTGTGCGGAGCGTCCCCGTCATCGGGGTGGCCGGACGCAGTCCCGTCCTGTTTCCTTGTGTTTAAACAGATACAGCCGACAGACCGGTACAGAAAAAATAAAATCAGTGAATCATCAATCGTTCTTATAAGACTTAGAAATGTACTCAATTTGGAGCTTTTAGATCCTAAACCTGAAAAAACAACCACCGCCAAACCTAACTCTAGATTTATCTTTAAAAAAACATTTGTCATCTTAACATGGGAGCATTGGGGCTTTTTATTTTCTGGAGTGCACTGGGCAGTTAACCCCTCAGGGGGAGAGGTTGGTAACGTTCTTACTTTTTACTTGACTGTGGTCCGAGTTTTCCGTTTTCACACTGTCCAGAGTTACAGAGCTGGGTGCCGTGTGGTGTCGGGTGGGTGCGGAGAAACGCGTGCCTTTGCCAGTGTTCGTGTGCGCCGGTGCGGCTCCGGCGGGGAAGCGCTTGAGCAGGCAGGGACCGCGCGTGCCCTCGGCCCGGCACGTCCACGTCCAGGAGCCTGTTCTTGAACTCGTGTGCACAGAAATATCGTTTGTAGTATAAATAGGAAAGTGCAAAAATCATTCTTAGGAGAAGATTAAATAAGTCGTTACAACCATATCCAGATGTACCTTGTTCTTTTAAATAGCCGCTCTCAGGATGAAATGCATTTGCATGCGTCGATAAGGAATATGCCGTAAGTTATCCTATTGTGTGAGCGGGGCCGGTAGTTTTCTCCTGCTCGTGCTTCAGAAAGCAAAGGGTGGGGATGCGTGTGTACAGCCCCTCCCCCTCCTCCCCTCACGGAAACGTCGGCAGAAAGATGGACCAAGGGCACCGGGAAACCTTCGGGGGCGCTTATCTCTGGTGAACGGGCCTGTGGGTCCAGGACGGAAGGCATTTGGGGGCGTACTTTTTGTGTGCTGTTTGAATTTTCTATACTGTGTGTATATATTAGTTTTTGTAATTAAAAGGAGATTTCCATTTTTTCCTCCAGGACTCCGCCCAGGAGAGTGTTATCACTCGAGACATTCACCGCACATTCCCCGCACACGACTACTTTAAGGATACTGGAGGCGACGGCCAGGAGTCGCTGTACAAGATCTGCAAGGTAGGGCCCTCCCTTCGGCTGTTCTAACTTACTTTACAGGGTTATATATTTTAGGAACCCATCTGACAGGTTTTCGGATTTTTTTCTGCCCTCACTCTTTCTTGCACTGTGTTGTGTTCTCTGCTTTACACTCCAACCACCGGGCCCTCAGTCACAGGTCCTGAAGGTGACTCTTGGGCGGCGGAGGATGTGCGGGATGGCCTGTCCCCGTCTGGCTGTGCCGCCAGCAGGAGGGAACGGAAGGTCCTCTTCAGGCCGAGGCAGGAAAGACTCAGAGGGGTCCCCGTGCCGCTGCCCTCTGACAAGATGCTGTGGCACTTGTCTCAGTGTTTTTCTGACAATAGGCAAGATGAAGAAGCAGTGTGGCACCTTTCTGAATACTGGCGAGTTCTCCGCTACTGCGGACACACTCCGCATTGCCACATCGTGCATCTTGGTGCAGTTTGTGGGTCCTGCTTGGAAACCTCTTTTCTCCCTCATTGGTGGCTGGCCTGGAGGAAAACTGTTTCCTGATTTTCAGTAAATATCCTCTGCGTGGGTACAGGAGATTCTGCCTCTGTTAGTGGAGAAGACTCGTCACAGTATAAATTCCTCTAGGTTATATCAGAAATGCAGAATGACTTTTTAAATCATTATATAAAGTTAACTCATTGTCAATGCTAATCGAGGCCGAAGACCCAGAATTATGAAGTCATTAAACACAATTTACCCTTTGCCTCATACTTAGGCTGCCCTACCACGTGTGGGGGTTACTCAACATTACCCTCCCCTGCCGTTCCGGTAGAGGTTGTTACCAAATAGGGAACAATACAAAAATCTTGTAATAATGTGGAGAAAAAGCAAATACCATGGTTAATTTGTAAGTTAGATAATTGATTCCTGAATAATCAAATTTAGCCATTGGAGTAACCAAAATTAGCTAGTAGGTAATCAGAAGTGTAGTCACATATCAGTGTCATTGTATAGGTACTTTTTTTAATGGCACTTATAAAAGCACTTGCCCACATATGCTAGCCAAGCAGGGTTAATGTTTAATTCTGAGAAGGGCTCAGCTTTCCTTGAAGTCCTTCCCGCATGTTTGTGGGTCGGCCATCTGCCCACTCCCGTCTTGTCTTGTCTTTTCTCTTGATGTGAGAGAATTTTGGAGCATTACACATATATACACTCATCAGAAACTTACTTTTATATAGATAATATTATTCAGAGCTAGAAATGCATAAATAACTGAAAATCTGAGAGTGTACTGATTTCTGGAAAGCAATACATCATCTAGTTTTAAAACACACCAAAACCATTGAACATCACAGAAACTGTATGATACATTCATTATATGCGCCCTGGCTGGTGAGGCTCGGTGGACTGAGCACCAGCCTGCAAACCAAAGGGTCGCCGGTTCCATCCCCATTCAGGGCACACGCCTGGGTTGTGGGCCAGGTCCCCAGTAGGGGGTGTGTGAGAGACAACCATACACTGGTGTTTCTCTCCCTTCTCCTCTCCCTAAAAATAAATAAATAAACCCTTTAAAAATATGTATTCATTAAATGCTTACAACAGGAAAAAGTAATTATTAAAAATTTTTCTACCAGTTTTAAAATTCTACAGGCTAATTAGCTTCTGGCTTGTTTAAGGAAACTACATCAAACTTTGTGTAGTTTCTAAGTTTATTTAGAAGAGTCTGGTTTACGGGATATGGAGCACTTTTCCCCCAGCACCAGGTATATTTTCAGCTAGTCTGTGGCTTTCCCCTCGGCTCCTCCCTGACTGAGGCCCTGCACTGGCTCATGTGCCGGAGCAGGCGGCTCTGTGCGCCTGCAGCCCGGGACTTCGGTTTGCTCCGTTGCAGCATGTCCAGGGTTCGCCTCGCTGTGCAGTATTAGAGAGGGAAATACCCAAAACATTATTAAACATCAAGACGGAAGTTAAATAGTTGGTGCATTTGAGTACTTGCTACTCCTTGCATTTAAAATTGCAGGTTAAAAAATAACATAAAAATAAAATTGCAGGTTAATAATCCAACCTTGAATTCATTACAGAATATTCATTAGTAATTCACATGGCTATTGTAGCCATTTTGGATTATCAGTGTATATTTTGCAACATAATTAGACAGTTTTAAAGATCTGAGTAAAGAATATTATAAAAATGTAGCTCTAAGATGCCTTAATTGCTGAATTAATTGTACGAAATTTTGTAAAAATTTCAGGAAACAAAAGGATCACATTCAAAACATTTTAAAATTCAAGATACTAAATATAAATTGCTAAGGCTTGTAATATAGTACTAAAATATGAATTACCTCAACATACGTTTACAACAGTCTTTGATAAAATGGGGGGAAGCAGAGATGAATATATCAGAAGATGTTGGAGAAACCAAAATTTGCTAGGGCCCTACCATGCAGACCACTTGGTTTGTAATGGACAATTTCTCCTCCTTTTGATCTACTGTGATCTAGTAGCTAAGTGCTCATACAGCAAAAACCTCAGTGGCGATGGTAACTCACAAATTGTACATCATACTTAGGAGTATTTTTTTATTTCTCGAACTTTACATATTTATTGAATCCTCATGACAATTTGGGATGTAGCTACCATAGGACTTTTTAATTTCAGAATTGAACATTATTCTCAGGTGTGTGCATCCTCTAGCCTTTGCTTTTTATATTCTGTCAGAACCATCGTCTTTCATGTTGTGGCCACCCCATGTCCCCAAAAGCTACTGGGTGTGACTTTAAGGCCAGTGAGTGTGGCCTGCCTGTTCTGTCATTGCGGTTTCTGGAATAGCATCCAGCGTCATACCTCCCGCACGCGGTCACACAGCTTTGAGTTTCCGTTCTGGAGACCGTGCCCAGAAGTGGGTAAACATCAGTAATACCCTCATCTTAAGTCAGCTCATCTTAAACCAGCTGTTTTGTGATATAGTTTGTAAATAAGGATGGTTTTGCTGCTTCTTTACCATTTTTTCTTCTTTTTCTTGTCTTACCGCACTGGCCAGAAGCTCCGTGATAGGTTAAAATGAAGCAGTGAGAGTAGACACCCTTTCCTTACTCTTGACTGTAAAGGATTAGCAGCTAGTGAGTCATCACTAAAATAGTGCATCTTGTTCACACCAGCAACACACTTAATAGGCCTTTTATTGATATGGCACCTTCGTGAGCCTTATGATAATCTCAGATTTACAGAGTACTTTCACACTTACTACTTCACTTGTTTCTAACAACTCCTCATCTGTGGGGCCTATATTAGAAATACAATATTCTCTGCTTTTAAATTGAAACAGAAATTAAGAGAATTTCAATTATAGCCCTGACTGGAATGACTCCGTGGACTGGGCATCGCACCGTGAGCTGAAAATTCACTGGTGTAATTGCTGGTCAGGGCACGTGCCTGGGTTGCAGGCCAGGTCCCGGGTTGGGCGTGTGAGAGAGGCAGTGGGTCCATGTTTCTCTCTCACGTCAGTGTTTCTCCCCCTCTCTTTCCTCCTCCTTTCCCCTCTCTTTAAAAAGAAATAAAATAGTTAGAAAAGAGAATTTGTTACAGTCTAAATGTTGAAATCAACTCCAGTTCAAAGATACAAGAGTCTGACTTTGCAGCTGAAGCTTCCTGTGGCTCTGGTGAGATGAGGAATGACCGGAGCGTCAGGGCAGAGGGGACACTGCTAGGAACTTGCTGTCACATTTTATTGGACGCATCAACTTCAGCTTTTACCTCGTAACACCATTTTCACGGGAGGAGGAAATGGAAGCGCTTCACAGATGCGTTTGCTGTCCTAAATGTGTGCGTAGAAATGGAACTGGAAGTACAAGGTAGAATGCATAGGGTTTTGAAGATGTAAGGGTGTGGGCTCCCCTCTCTCCTGTCTTTCACAACGTATTTTAACATAGTGTCCTGCAAAGGAAGAAAAAGTACGCGGCCCCACCCCAGGAGACAGTGGGCACAGTTGAAAGGACGGGGCATTGGGAGACCTGCTTCTGGTTTTGACTCTTGCCCTAAGAAGATCTAAGATTTGGGGAAGTCGCTTTTCAGACTTCCTCCTGATTAAGAGTATGGGGGTCTGATAAGACTATTCCAATTTCAGTTCGCTGTGATTCTAAATGTTGCTTTAAAAAATTGCGTCAATACAGCAGATGCATTCCTAGGTCTGGTTGTAGCCGCCTGTCACTGCTGGAGCTGTAAGGGAGTGTGCTGCAACTCTGAAGACTTCACCGGCTTTCCCTCGTTGGGCTGGGGTGTGTTTCCAGGCACGTGCGAAGCGGGTGCAGTTAACTCCTTAACTCCTGGAAGCGGGCTTCCAGTTAACTCCTTAGGGCCTCCTCTCCTAAGAACCTCCCTGCGTGTCGAGCAGCGGTGTTGTAGCCGTCCTGGGGCACGTTGCACCTCTGGTACGTGTTCGTCTCGGGACTGGAGGTCTGTGTATGTTTGCCCACCTTCCTCCGGGGCGCCCCCTGCCCCTGCCTCTGGTAACCACAAACGTGATCTCGTTTTCTGTAGGTGTGATGTCATGGGTGGTCTGGTGTTCTGTCTCAGTTTTGGATTTCATTTCATTTAGCATCATGCCCTCAGGGTCCACCCACGTTAGGCCTTCAACTCTATAAAGGCCAGTTTTCTTAATATCACCTTAGATCTCACTGCTACTATTAAAAAACTTTAATAAATATAACATTTAATACAAATACAGCAAAGTGCACAAATGTTGAGGGTATAACAGTGAATTTTGCCAAGTGAACACTTCTGTGTAATTACTGCAGGACAGAGAATTTTACTGGCATTCCAGAAGCCTCCCTTTATTTTCCCTGCCAGTAGTTACCTCCCCCAAAGGTCACCATTCTGTTAACATGCAGTAGGATTGCCTCTTTTCAAATTAAAATAATTGACTCACACAATATGGAGTACGTGGTTACTCTTCTTCCCACTGTCCATGAGATTTATCTGTGTTGTTGCATATGGCAGTAATATATTGTTTTCACCACTGCATAATATTCCATGGTATGACTGTGTTGT